ATACCCATATAGATGAGCTCATGGATCCACTGAAGCACTGACTATACCTTAATAGAGAGTTGGTCATAGTTATAATAGTCATTTCAGAATCAGCTATCTACAAGTAGTCAAATCCTTCTACTGGTTAAAGAAAAGGTCATAGTAAATGTGATATGATAAGAATAGCAATGAGAAAACAACAATGTACATACAACTGCAGCTGCTCTAACCCAACCTAAAAAAAGCTGCCTCTGAAAAATGAGAAGTTAACAAAAGACCTTGACCATCACCATTTCTTAGAGAAGTCTAACCAAGCAAAACAGTCACCAAAACTAAGAAGTCAAAAGAACCTGAAACTGCCTGAACAAGCAAACAGTTAATCTTCATCATGATAAGAAATATGGTTGCCAAAGGCAATGTTGGTTCACTTGGAAAACATTTCAGAGGAGAATAGCAGAAAATATGGGCATTCACCAAAAAACACCAAAAAAAAAAAGTTGAGAAGCATTGTGAGATTAATACACCCAAATCTTGAAAACATCTAATTTACAGGGCTGAGAAATGAAATAATGAAATTTAAGACCTACTTCTCTAAAACTGTCAATATTCTCTCTAACTCCCTTTTAATGAAATGGAAGACCAGGCAGAGAAATAAAAAGAAAATTTAACCTAGGAAAAGATGTCATAAAAAAAAAACAGGAAGCTCTGAGAAAAGAGTACAGATTTTAAGCCTTAAAATTTTTGTTTAATTTTTAAAAGAGGGGTAGAAAGAGTTTAAAGGTCAGAATCAAGAAATTTATATCCTTTGGGCACATGGAAGCAAGAGAAAAAGAACCTCATGAAGAACAGGTGTTCACCTCCTTGTACCCTTACACGAACTGTACCCAAGGAGGTCAGGAACCAATCATTTCCTACTCCTATTCAGAATGGACTTCTATCAACCATGGATAAAGTAATTTTTGGTCTACTGTGTTTTAAAGCTTTCTATAACGAAAGTTCCACTATGGCACGGTTCAATGAAAAGAAGGTTGACTGGAGGACTGAGTCAAAACCACCTTCATGACTTTGGGCAAGTCACAACCTCCCAGTGACTCTGGGTCATCATCTGGAAAATGAGAAGGTTGATTCAGACTCTCTCCTAACTCTAGATTCCATGGCTCTATGAACTTCGTTTCCATAAAACACTTAAAATTTGCCTTATACCATGTGTTCGAACCCACAACCAGGTCATCCTAGCCAGGCCCTAAGCCATATACTTCGCAAAGCAGACCAGCCCTACTCAGCACCATGGAAGTTGCTACACAATGAAAAGAACAGAGGTTGAGGGAGTTTTTATGCATTAAGGAATTATAGTAGTATGTGAATCACAAGCAAAAGAAAAATAACATTTGCCTCAAATCATTAACTTGGGCATTTGGTGATACTGCTACAGACTCATGATAAACAACTAAATCAGGATTTCTTAACCTTTTTTTGCATCATGGACTCCTTTGGCAGTCTAGTGAAGTCTTTGGATTCCTCAGAATGTTTTTAAATTAATTAAATAAAATATATAAGATTATAAATGAAATCAATCATAACAAAAGTTATCAAAAAATTTTTTTAAAAAGTTTATGGACCCCAAACTAAGAGACTGAACTAAATTCTTAAAAAGGGTATTATTCAAGTATCATATTTTTTCACTATGGGCATAAGGAGGGCAAAGAAAAAGAAATCTCTTTTTAAATCACTTTAAAAAGTGCTTCAACAAGGCACTGAAGCATTATCTGTTTAATGCTTAAATACAATTATAAAATATGCTTAGCCCCTATTTCATTAGAAGAAAACTACTTGTCCATTAATTGGGAATGGTTGAACAAATTATGGTCTATAAATAAAATGAAATGCAGTTAGGTCTTCATTACTTAGAATAATGAATCCTATGAAGTGGTTGCATGCATTCGAATTCATGCTATTCAAATCATTTAATTACACAAAATATCGGGAGCTGCTTCCAGCCCAATGTAAACATACGGTGAGAACTAGAATATGACCACACAGTATTCATCACTAGCACAAATCAGAACCTCACTGAATTAGTTTGCCACAAGCAATGAAAAAAACTATGTATTCAGAGAAACCTGGGAAGACCTGCATGAACAACTTATACAGCAATAACAGTGTAAAGAAAAAAAATGATCTTGAACGACTTATGAACTTGATTAATTTACTGACCAAACATGATTCCAGAGGACTAATGAGGAAAGGAGGCATGCTATTCACCTCCCAACAGTGAGGTGATGGACTCAAGATTCAGAATGATGCATACCTTTTGGGACACCTCAAATGTATGAATCCGCTTTGCTTGATTAAGCTCGTTACAAGGATTGTGGCTTTCTTCTTCTTTTTTTTTTTTGGAGAGGAAGGAGAGTTTGGGATTGTGTTGAAAAAATAGAAAAGAAAAAAGCATCACAAGCATTTTTTTAAATGCTCAGAAAAGAATAAAGTTCAGAAGGAAACAGATAAGCAGGACAGCTTTACAAGAAGCAAGTTGAATTTATAATATACTTTCTTTAAAAAGCAAGCTGTATATAACAGATTAGAATTTTCATTTATAATCCTTTTTCTTTACTATGTATGTGGAAACTTTTTTCATTGTTCATTAAATCTTTCTAATTCAAGTTTTTTTTAAAAGAAAAGCAGCTCCAGAACTAAGTTTTTGATATCTGCAAAAGATGATTAACTTCTCAACCACAACTACAACCCCTTAATTCTATTCAACAAGTATTTATTAAGGTCTTAATATATGACTAATACTGTGTTAGGGATTATAGTGGCTGCTTCAACACTTCCATGAATGCAAAATTTCACCAGATCCCAGTAGCAGATATGGGTACTCTTCCAATAGCACACATAGATCACAGTGCCTGCACTTCCCATCCGATCTGATTTTTGTCCCTATTTCCATAAATCCTTTACAAAGGATCTACCCAAAGTTCAGGAGGCTTTCCTATGGGTTCTTATATTAATTTCATGAGGACCTGCCTTTCTCCATATCCTCAGTACTTAGCGCAATGCCTGGCACATAATAATTGCTTAATAAAAATGCTTGTTGACATCAGTCAAATATGTCCTTGATGTCTTCTATGCTTAAGAAAGAACCCAGTTAAAAGTTATGCAAAAGAACCGCAAGATAGTTTCCACAAAATGTTTAATATGATCATACATGTATAGTCTATATCAGATTGCATGCTATCCTGGAGAACGGGGAGTGGAGGGAGGAGGTAAAATTTAGAACTCAAAATCTTATAAAAGCAAATGCTGAAAACTGGAAATAAATAAATAAAAATTTTAAAAAGATAGTTTCTACAGATAGAATAGAAAAAATCTCAGATCTAGACTCAGGAGACCTGGATTCAAAGTCTCACTTCTGATACTTGCTAGTTGAACAACCATGGGAAAATCACAAGGCAGCATGTTGTGGTGTTTATGACACAGGATTTGGAGCCAGGAAGACCTAAGTTCAAATCCCGTTTCAGACACTAGCTGTGTGACTGTTTATTGGCACTTGATCATTTCTTATGCCAAAATTTCCTCATCTATAAAAGGAGGGAGTCAGACTCTGACTTCAAAGATCTCTTTCAACTCTAGATCTATAATCCTATGAACTTCCCCTGAGCCTTTCTTCATCTGTAAAATGGGAATAATATTTTCACTACCTCAGTGTTATATGACAAGTTATTTCATAAACTTTAAAGCACTACAAATATGTATTACTAAAATTTAAAGTTATCTTAAAATGTCACTTCAATCCTTTTAAGTATGCCCCTCCTTAAACAAACAAAAAACTACTTCCATGAACTAAGTCAAAAGCTTAGAGGTGAGAGGACTCTTGGGGACCAAATCCAACTTCTTCATTTTACAGATGAGAAAATTGAAGCCCAGCAAAGATAAGAAGAGGCTTGGCTAACTTCACATGACTAGTTAATGGTAGAGGCAAAGCTAAAACCTAGGTCTCCCAAATTAGGCAATCATAAACTGAAGAATCTGGAGATATTCCCCTTTCCACTTGTATTTTCCAAGTCCAACCACTTATTTTTTAAAACTGAAAAAAAACCCTATGATTAGTAATAGAGAAAAACTTAAGATATACTCATATTATATTTTCCTGAAGATTTGTTCCTTTTTAGTGTGCTTGTAAACCAAAAACCTTACACTTTGAAAAACAATTTTCAGCTTTAGTAGAGTCTAGAGTTCTGGATTCTGAGTCAGAATCAGAGGCCCAAAAATTTGGAGCTTAAAATGGCCTAAGTCAAGAGGATATCTAGTCCAACCCCCTCATTTCACACCGGAGGAAACTGGCCTAGAGACAAGTTAAGGGACGAGAGCCAGTGTTCTGAATCCTGCATCTGCTACTACCACCTTTGTGACTGGGCAAATCTTGGTTACCTTCCCTAGGCCTCAGTTTCTTATCTATAAAAGGAAAAGGGTGGAGGGATGGAAGCTTTGGACTAGATGACTTGTATAATGAACAGGGCACTGGAATTATTAGATGACACGAGACGATAATATTTGTAAAGCTTAACACAGTGCCTGACACCTAGTTGGAGTTTAATAAATGCTTGTTGATTGACTGATGTGAAGGTCAGGAAAACCTGGGTTCAATTCCCCCTCAGACACCATTTGTGTGACCCGGGGCAAGTAATTCACTTAACATCTCTGGGCCTCAGTTTCCTCATTTGCAAAACGAAGGAACTGGTCTCGGTGATCTCTCCCAGCTCTAAACCCACTCTTTCCTCCCAGCCCGCCCCCCAACTCCCTCCAGGAACCGGGCACAAGACCTGTGGCAGCCCGCCCAACTCCTGTCAATTACCCCTTTTGCCTTCACAGCGGCTGACAGACCCTTCCCAACATCGCCACCACCCCGCGCCCGTCACCTCCACCCTGGCCTCAACAGCGCCTCCCCGGAACCTCAGTTTCTTCATCCGCAAAATGGGGATGATCACAAGCACGCGTCACCCCGCCTCCCCCGGGCTCCTCACTTTTTCAGGTCGCTGCTGAAGAGGCCAAAGGCCCCCGAGGGGGACGTGGTGGGGGTGGCCTCCTGGCCCAGCTCGGGCTGCTCGCTGCCCGCGAGCTGCTCATTGTAGGAGAGGCTGTTGCCGGACATGGCCTTGGCCTCGCGCGCGTGCGCTCGCCCGCCCGCCCTCGCCCTCGGTCTCCCGTGGGTCCCCGACTGTCCGCCTCGCGCTGTCTCCGCTCGGGCTGTCGCGTCCGGCCCGGGGACCTCGGCTGCTCCCTCACTCGCAGGAGGCTCCCGGAACAAAACTAGTTCAGGGGCCGCGACGTTCGCGCAGGCGCTTTGGGACGCGCTGGGGCCGCAGGAGCCCAGAGTGCAGGCTCCGGCGCATGCTCAGTGCAGACCCCCACCCCCACCCCCACCTCTGCCGGCTACGCCGGGCGCTCCCGAGACCGGATCACAGGACTCCGAGTTTGCCCAGGAACTCAAAGCCTGGGGTAGGTCCCACAAAGTGCTTTTATTGCCTTCGAGAATTTGCCCCCTGCGGGTTGGAAGAGAGTTTTTATGGATGGAGAAGATATGCTATGGACACATTTTTTTTAACCCACTAGGTGCCTCTCTGAGGCTAAGAATTCTTTCGCTTGGATTGCATTGTGTAAGCAAATTGCTATTTCCCGAAATTCTCCTAACCTGCCTTTGGTAAATCCATTCCCACAGTTTCTTCTGCCTGACTCTACATAGATTACAAGGGTTTTGCTTTTCTTTTTTTCTTTTCATTGGGGGTAGGAGGTAGAGAAAGTAAATGCTTGTTAATGGGAAAATAAAATCCATCCCCGCTACGTTGTCACTTTATGCGTGCTTTTACTCTCCTATGCCAAATGTTGTTTTACTTTAATAACTGTAAGGTAGCTTCCTCTTTTCTTTTTCCCTCTCATTTTTCCTAAATAACCTCAAACTCCTGTATGTTCCCAAATATCTTTCCACTCTTCAGTCGAGACAGCACCACAGTGCTAGGCAAATAACACTTGTTTTGGGAGTCTCCATCCTAGAGAAACTCCCGCAAAGAAATTCTCATAAGAATTGATGGCTACTCAGACTTTATAACATGAGTCAACCGCGCCCCAAAGTTCTCCTTCGCTATCTGCTGAATGCACTTTGTAAACCTTAAATTCTCATATAAATATGATGTATACGTGTGTGCCCAACACATACACCGGTATAACATATATATGTATAAACTGCATTATATATATATATGTGTGTGTGTGTGTTTGTGCATTTATGTCTATATAACGCATAATTGTTATCGAAGACTTATTGAATTATTACCACCACAAATCTAACCACCAAATCTAACCTGGGTGGATATCATGCTGAAAAGAAATGCATTAGGGGTACTTCGGGAAGTGTTCATCTCCCTCCAGATATGCACACCACTAAACTACTCCTGCCCCCAAGATAGCGGTCCTTCAAAGGATACATTTTCACAATTTCTCCATAAACATAGATACATGGGTATCTATGTGGTACATTTTGATGAGCCATTCCACATTAGAAACCTGACCTTCCTGGAAACACTGCTGCTAACTTGCAATCAGTATTCAACTGCCATCCTACCAGTTCATGAGTTTTAAGTCAAGTTAATATACAACCCCTCCTTTTGCCCCCTTTCTCCCCGCCTGGCGGCAGCTAAAACACAAAAGCTGAATCCCTGGTGTTGAAACTGTCATATGTTGAAAATGAAATTTTGAGCGGCAGAATCATGCGTTCGCCCTGCGGCTAGGTCAGCTTTGGTTTCGGACCCAGAAGTGGCTGCTCCTGCTCTGAAGACTGCTCCAAGGCACGATGTTGGCGGAGCAGTCCTCTCTCTCCTCCCTCTCTGACGTGACAGGAGCCAGAAGTGGAGGGTGTGTGCAAACTTCGGTCTCCTGGATTCTGGTTGACTTGGCGTTATATTGTCACTGTGCAAACAGTACAGTCAAACTAATGAGAACTCTCGCCCCACTGCTTTAGTGGGTGGAAAGAGAAGGCGGCACTCCTCAGACAGAATACTATTCAAAAGGTAGGTAGAGAAGGATTCCCCTTACCTCAAAAAAAAAAAAGGCCCCACGGAATCATATACAAGTGAGGCAGTTTCAAAAATTAAATGTTCAGTTTATTATACTTTAAGAGAAAAGCAAACTCTACATAATGCCAATCAAAATTTCACATACAGTTTCCTCTCCTGTTCCACATTGTGTATAGAAATGTTTGTTTTACTTGATGTTTAAGTTCAGAATAAAAAAAAATTGAAAAAAATGAGTAAACTAAACACACACACACACACACACACACACACACACACACACACACACACACACACACACACACACACTGAATATTATTTCCCAGAGATAAAGGACTAGGTAGGACTCCTTCATCACGAATAGTCTCTGAGGTTCCCAGATAGTTAATTGATGGATCAATCAACAATCATTTGTTAACCACTTAACCATGTGCTAGACAATCCACTAAAATAAAAGCGTGTGGGCTCAAGGAGCTTTAATTCTTAATGGGGAGACAAAATGTAGATCAAAAAAAGTATAAACAACATTATTTGAAAAATGCATACAGGATTGTTTTGGGAGGGAATGTACTAGCAGCTCCAGGGACCAAGTAAATGATTCTTCATTCTTCCCTTGTTTACAGGCACTGAGAGTAAACTGAGGTTACCATCCTTACCTGAAGGCTAGAAGAAGCATATTTTTGTATAATTTGGTATTTTATCTGAGATTCAGAATTACAAAAAATCGGAGTTGGAAAAGACTGGCCATCTGTGCCAACCCATTCCCGAATGAAAGTCCTCTACTACAACACACCTGATAAGTAGCCATCCAGTCTTTGCTTTTCCCATCAAACCTAAATTTGATAACTTGCATCTTCCATCCATTGCTCCAAGTTCTGCCCCCTGGGACTAAACAGAGCAAGTCAAATGCCTCATCCACAGGACAGCAAAGAAGCTTCTCAAATATAGTATTTGGAGGTGATTTTGTTGTTCAGTCATGTCCAACTCTTGTGACCTCATTTGGGGTTTTCTTGGCAGATACTAGAATGGTTTGCCATTTCCTTCTCCAGCTTGTTTTACAGATGAGGAAACTGAGACAGTATTAAATGACTTGCCCAGGGTCACAGGGCTAGTAAGTGTCTGGGGCCAGATTTGAACTTAGGAAGAGGAGTCTTCCTGACTCCAGGTCTTAGCCCTCTATCCACTGTATACTTAGCTACTCTGCAGAAGATTACTATGTGCCTTATGAGTCATTTAGTCTCTGAGATAAACACCCTTGATTCCTTCAGCTGATCCCTATATGACTTGACCTCAAGCCTCGATTATTCTAAGTCATCATCTTCTGAACACTCTCCAGTTTATCAATGCTCTTCCTATTGTGCCCAGAACACAATACTTCAAATGTAGTTTGTCAAAGACAGTGGAAAATAGGATCATCACTTTCTTATTCTGGATGATACATGTCGCAATGAATCCTAAAATTGCATTAGCTTTCTTGGCTGATAACATGGTATTGATTCTACTGAGTTTGCAGTTCACTAAAACTCCTTGGCCTTTTTCTGATGAACTACTGTCTAGTCAGGCCTCTCCTATATTGTATTTGTGAAGTTGCTTTTTGGACCCCACATAAGAATTTACATTTATCCCCACTGAATTTCATTTTATTCATTTTGGCCCAATGTTCTAACCTGTTAAGATCTTCTCGAATCCTAACTCTGTTATCCATTTTATTATCCATTTGTTATCCACTTTGTGTTATCTGAAAATTTGACATACATACTACTTATGTCTTTATCCAAGTATTTGATAATGTTTAATAATACAGAACTGAACACAGATCTCTGGGACATCCCCAAGCTAACATCAAACCATTAATTGAGTCTAATTCATTAATAATTAAATCTTTGAGTCGAACAACGGAACCAGTTTTGTATCCACTTAACGTTGACCTTTGCTGTCAAACTCAATAGAAATGAATCCCTTGGGGCAAGTAGGTGGCACAGTGGATAGAGCACTGACCCTGGAGTCAAGAGGACTTAAGTTCAAATCCAGCCTCAGATACATAACACTCACTAGCTGTGTGACCCTGAGCAAGTCACTTAACCCAATTGCCTTACCAAAAACAAAACAAAAAAATAGAAATAAATCCCTGACAGCAGCATATTGACTTAGAAAACCACAAATTAATGTTACTTATATTGTATTTCTATTTATTTTGTTAAATGCTTCCCAATTACATTTTAATCTGGTGGCTGCACTCCAGAGTTTTGCTGGCTACAAGTTTGACACTTGTGTTGAATAGAGAAGTGTGAAACACACAGCCCCTGGCTGCCCAAGAACTGCCCGACCAAATTAAAATGTCTTTGGGAAATATTTAATAAAATGTATTAAAAAAATAATAAAACCAAGATAATGTTAATATCTAGTTTTCTAAGTCAACAGGTGGCTCACATGAATCCTGATGTATGGGTTAGTAGGCCCATTTCTATTTGAGATTGACACTACTGCTCTAGAGTACTCTAGAGCAGACCTGCACAACTTATAAACCTCTTCAGGCCACAGATAGGTTATACTAGAGACAGACTGACAATGGTTGGTTGGCAGGGGTCAGGTGACAGCTGCTCAAAATCCTGTGGTGGGCTTCTAGACCACATCTTTCTGTCATTTCCATAAGAATAACATGGAAGGTTTCAAATGCTTAGCTTTACCCAGGCATGTGTGCTTTGTTGTTGGGCAGGTAGGTGGCAAAGTGGATAGAATGCTAAGCTTGGAGTCAGGAACACTCATCTTCCTGAGTTCAGTTCCAGCCTCAGACACTTACTAGCTATGTAACCCTGGGCAAGTCACTTAACCCTGTTTGCCTAAGTTTTCTTATCCGTAAAATGAGCTGGTTGTTGATTTCTAGAATTAAGAAAGTGATGGAAATATGTTAATAATGCAGATTAAGCTTAAAAGTATTTCTCACGATTATCCCTATCACCCCATCAAGGCTGTTAAACATTTACCAGCACATGCTTGTCTGTAACTAAGTAAACTATATTAGGAGCATCCCCCTCATCTACTACCATTTTAATGACTCTTTTGTTCTGGCCTGACTTGTTCTTGATGAAGCCCTGCTAGTCTCTTGTGATTACTGCTTCCTTTGATAGTCATCCCTTTCACTAACCATCCCTTTAATGTTAGATTTTATAATTTTTACAGCAATTGAAGTCAAATTCACAGGCCAATAGTTTGCAGACTATACTCTCTTGCCTTCTTTGAAATCGGGGAAAAATATATCATTTTCCAGTATT